TAATTTATCTTGGTCCTAATAAAAATTTAAACATAGGTTATCAAAGAGTAAAATACATAATAGAACTTCATAATCTTAAATCGTTATCAAAAATTATTAATGGTAAAACTTCAAACAATAATTAGATTCTTAAACAAATTTTTAGTTTTTGTTTTGCAAAAGACTTTTTTGCCTTCTTCGGTTGCCTCTGCCACTTTTCTTTTAATAGTTTCGAGGTGAATTTTCCTATGGAAACCAGTAGAACCATCAATTGGTTGGTAAAATTTTGATATTTTGGATCTGGTAAGTCTTGTTAAACTTTTTTCTTAGGAAGCTGTAACCATCTGGAGAATAAAAATTTAATGTTAGATCAGAAGCTCTTAATTGAGAATTATATTTGCAAAGGCCCTTTTAATAATATTTTTAAAAGTTCTTGGAATCGTTGTTAACAAAAACCTGCAAAAATTATATCATTTTATTCCCAAAATATAAGATATCACACAATGCATATTCATATAATATCATTGTACTAGAAAAATACTAAGTAGGTACTGAGACAATTTAAAAAAAGTATTTCGAGAAACTCAACTTTTAATGTCATCATTGTACTTAACTTTTTTATTGCTAAATTATTAATGTCATTTTGTGTAGTTCGTTGTGATTTGTATAATATATATTATAAAAACCTATCGCCAATGTTAATGTGCCAAGTTTTTTTAATAATTATGTCCTTAAACACATTTTAAAAGTTTTCTGGATTTCTGCTTTAAATTATCGTACAATTGAACTGACTAATTGTGTGTTTTTTGTTATAACAGTCTTTGTATATTGTTCTATTTTGATAATCAGAGAAAACAGTAAGGCATCTTAATATATCCTATTTCACCATCAAAAATGTAGAATAATTAATCTCACATCAACCAAAAAAAGTCATTTTAGGATGTCTCAATAGGTTTTAACTTAAAAACCAAATAAAATGTATATTGCAACTGTGTTTAAATAAATGAATGTTTTTATACCTGACTATAGCACCAGACAAACATTTTTTTAGATCATAATGATCTGCATAACTCAAAATAGTCAAAATCCACATTATTTAAGTTGTTCTAGTATTGTTTTAGCATAACGATGTAAACTCCAATAATAAATATTCACATTTTTTTGGGATGTTTTTTAAGGAAATTAAAAAAAAAACATAAATAATGTGATATTCTTGTTTAGTTTTGTACTATATAATATAGTTCATTAGGTAGTGATTTAGAAGCAAATTATGTTCTATTTATAGAATAAAAAATCACTCATAATATCTAAATATTTATACCTATTTATTATTTGGACAGGAAGACTATTTTATGTTTTTGGCTCCGAATAGTTTTCTTAAGAATTTTAAAACCTTCCTTAGCTCTTTTGGGATATTCCATGCATATCTTAGAAGTTCATTTTGTTTAAACCTAAAACAAATTACGTACAAAAAATTAAAATTTAAACAATACACAAAATTAGTCTTTTAGATTAGTTAAAAAAAGTGTCAACAAAAAAATAGCTATGCCTTTTTCCTTAAACTTAAGTTTCTCTACTTACTTGCTATTTTAGTATTTTAGTAGCAGATGAATATATTGTAGAAGTAGTGACAGGATTGATTATTATACTTCTTTTGTCGAAATTGAATTTTGCTTTAATATTTTCCTCCCTTGAGGTCTTTAATAAAATGTTCATTAGCATAAAACGTTATTCAGGTGGTCACTTGTTGAATTCTTATATTTTGGAACCATGTATTTCTTTCTCATATCAAGAAAAGGAAACCTAAAAAAATAACAATAAACTTTGCAAAGATGTGATATTAAAATAATAATAAGTAATTAACCTTTACTATAATCATTATGAGACGGATGAAGACGAACTTAGCTGGAGTTTACTTGCTCTTAATTTTAATTTTTCGATAAGAAAATAAGAAAGTTTAATTGCAAATTAAAGGTGATTGCCTAATGCACCGCCTCTGATAATTAGGTTGTGTCTGTACTTACTTATGATATTATCTTGAAGAAGCATTTTCAACAAGCCTTTTACACATAAAGGATGTTTTCACCATATTATTAGAGATAATAAATCTTAAATATACATTTACAACCCTTACAACGCTATAAATAATAATATTTTCCGTAAAATACAAATAAGAAATTGACATGTGTCAGAAAGTGTCAGAACTGGCGCTCACAGAACACTTCTGGCGCTCACAGAACACTTCTGGCGCTGTCAAACTTGGCAACGCTGATTAAATAAGCCAATTACAGAAGAGGTATTTTCCCCTCGGGGGGAGTAGATGATGCTAACAAAATTTAGCGCGGGGAAGGGGGGAAGACTCCCTCTAGTAGTAATTGCTCGGAGGTTTTAATCATCCGCTTCTGCTTCCGGAAGTGTCGGTTTAGTCGTTTTAACCTGTCAGTTTAAAACAAGAAAACCGACAATTCCGAAGCAGAAGCGGATGATTAAAACGCACCTATTAAAAATATTGCGCCAAGATGTAGGCAACACGTAATAAGGGATCAAAATGGCGGAGTTTTCTATCTCCTTTCAAAAGGCACTCACCATTCTCCGTATAGTAAAAGAAAATCAAAGTATGTGGATCCATATACTTATCTTAGATACCGTGTGTCCAGCATTCACCCACGTTTTATCGAGATAGTATATCTTTTTTTAGCAGCTCTAAACTCTTTAATATTTCGTAAATAACGCCGTCGCCAGGACCTCTCAATTAAAATTGATTTCCAACACCGTTTGATAAAACGAAATTTTAGGCCCCATAAAATTTTTCGTAAAGTTTCACGGCTCATTAATGGAATTTCTTCGTTTTCTCTTAATTTCGTAAGAACAACTTTAAGTGTTGGGGCTTTGTTTTCGAAAAAAAAAAAGAATGTACAGTTCTTCGAATGATTTGTTTTTGGTTATCGTCCAATTTCAACAATTTTCGACCACGGGTATGCGTTTTAGGGGCTTCTAAGGAGCCTTTTTTTGTCTTTTCGCGTACAATACGTTCAATTGTTGAAACAGATACTCCAGTTAAAAAAGAACTACGGTTTACAGCTTCATATGTAGGAAGTGTCTGTTTCAGTCCATTATACACTTTCCATATAATGTTCTTTTCATCCTTTGATAAGGGCTTTCGCCGACGTAATTGGGTTTCAGTTGGACCCGCCTCTGAATCCATTACTATTGTAACAATATAATTCTACTATTAAATTGTTTTTATTAAATTTATAAAGACACCAATATTTTACTATTTAATAAACTTTTAAAGTACCTACCTAATATACTACACAATAAATATAACTCCTCGAATATGCACTACCACTACCAAATTGTAAGGCACAAACATGAACACCTACTCGTATATCAGAAAAGAACACTTATACAAAAAAGTGTAAAATATAAAATAATTATCGTAAATAGTTAAAGCGATACAAATCTAACTTCGTCGAAAGTTAGTTTTTAACTATCGTTGTACCTGTGCTGACAATATTCAATCTGTAACCCGTCTGTCGTTTATTTACTTGAAACACATTTTAAAACCATTAAACATAGATAACGAAGTTATTAGGGAATAAATATATTTATTTCTTGAAAACTATCAAAAACGTATATTTAACGCATCATCTTTGTTTAAATAAAGATGTTGACAAACAAATTTAATAAAGTTTACTAACAAATACCTAATAAATAATAAATAATTATTTGGTATTTGATACACCGCCTATGCTGACTCTGTCGGAATTTTCATTCATAAGCAACAGTGTTGATCATGCCTATGACTCACCTTCTCCAATATTTTGTCCGAGTATAGCAAGAAATGCTTATTCCTTGAGTATGCTGTGGTTCATGCAGTAAATATATTTGTAGGGAAGAGTACCAGTACTTCTATTTTAAATTATATTTAAGCATATTTTATATTAGGAAGAGTTTGTAATCGCTTGGACCAAAACCAGAACCGTATTAAGTTTTCCCGTTTTCTCAGCATTACTATCTTTAAAATCACACCTATACTCTTTACAGTAATACATACATGATACACGCTTAGCGATCATATAAGGAGTTGTGTGGTTGTGTTGAAAAAAACATTATTCCCGTTCTATTTATATTCTTGTATCATTGTTTAAAGAGTCTATCTTTAAACAATGCCTGTATCCAGTAAAGAATAAAAAGGAATTATTATGTTTTTCGAACTCGAGTTTTCAACGGATTTTTACGTTTTGGGGTCCTCTGAATCCGTTTTGACCATTTTTGCGATGCTGTATGTCTGTGTGTGTATCCATGATCAAGAGAAAAAGTCCTGAACTTTGGCTTTAAGCCATCATCCTGTAAGATAATTAGATTTTGGGGAGAAGGGTAGTACTTTATAGGAGGACATTTCTCTAGTTTATAATATATTGCAGTTATTTATAATTAGAGAAGGACATTCTTAAAAAAAGGATTATTTGTGATGTCACTCTCTACAATTTTTGTCACATATATATATTATAATTTCTATAAAATGAGCCGAAATGGAGAAATTTGAGAAATAGTGAAACATTTTAATTTTGTCAGTATTTGGCAATGAAGATATGAAAAAATGTTTAAAATAAAATGTGTGCAGAAAATGTTTAATTCATATTCTAAACATTATTTGATTAGACTCAATGCAGGATAGTCATGTGTTGGCTACATCAAATATTTCATCGTAGTTCTTACCATAGATCTTTCACATATATAAAAATTCGTAAATTGAAACGCGGACCATATAAACCAAATTTATTAGGGACAAGCGTAAGTGAAAGTGATGTAGCAGTCGTAGGTACCGTGCGCCAGGCCACAGAATAGGTAATGCGCTGCTTAGCAGTCTTTGTTTCATTCGTCCAGTTAATTTTAAGCTAGATTTGGATTTCCGTATCCATATTCTAATTTTTAACCAATACTTATTCATTAATCACGTTAAAATGACCGTTATTTTTTTGTTTTTTTCATAAAAAAAAAATTTGTCGACTATACAGTCGATTTTTCAGATATGGAAGATGAATGTTTCCCCGCGATCTCCATGAAAACTGCCTGCGGAAATCTACAATCAGATACATTGCATATCAAAGACGAGCCAAATAGTGAGACAGACAGCAACCATTCGTCCTGCCCTTCGTCTCCCCAATCGATCTACGTCAATGCTAGTGATATACCTCTAGACGTCGAAATGGTAAGTTATTTTTTTTTTATTTTTTTAATTACGAACATATAGAAAAATGTTGAATTTTTTTTATGATTTCTAGTCGCCCGTGCACCGTACTACAGTCTTCAAACACTCCACGAACACCATTGTAACTTCTCCGCACACGGTCATCCCCCAAAGATTACAGTTACCCGTACAAAAGTCCAATGCCACCACAACCAATACCAGCATAAAAGTCGACACCACAGCTTTCCATAATCTACCTCCAACGCCACCATCTTGCAGCAGTAGCGAAGACAGCGAGGACGTCATTTCCCAACCTAGTTCACCTGCCTCTCGAAAAACTGGCAGGCTCGTATTGGCCCAACCCTCCACCAGGCAGCCCATAAACACACCTCTTATCAGTACTCAACCGGTAAGTCATAACATTAAAAACAATGTAGATATCTATCAAGAAAAGCACCCTGAAAAGGAGGATAACTCCTATAGCAGGCAGAAAATAAAATCGCTGTTCCAGAATAACAATGATGTAGCTGCAAAATTAGGGTAATTGTAGTTAAGTATTTCACTGTTCTCAAAAATACGTAACACATATGGGAGAACAACGACGTAACTGTAGTCGCTTTAATTGCCTCTAAAGCAAGTTGCGTCGTTGTCGAAATATCAGCTGTTTGTAACATAATTTCAGAAGAACATCGCCCGAATGATTCAGTTCTGTCTGTCTGTCTGCTAACGAGCCTATGTTAGTGTCCGGTGAAACAACGACGCAATTGTGAAATTTCTCGTAATTTGAACCTTTTTAACTGCAATTCCAGTGCAACAACGACATTAGTGTACTTTGTTTAGTTTCATATAAATTAATCTACAATCTAGTTTAGCTTAATTTTTCTTCTTGTCAAAAAAAGTATCAACGTTGACATCACTGACACCATGCAGTACTCGTCTATTTTTTTAATGGGGTTGTTTTGTGTAGGCAAAGTGCGGAAGACCACCGACTGCCCTGGCACTTCAATTCTTGATAGATTTCTATCTATATATTTTTTCGCGGTTAAATAAAATTTTAATAGTAGTTTAAATATATGTATACCTTCGTAAAATGTCTTGTTATTGTTTACCTCACATTGTAACGTTATCTTACAGAAAGGATCCACGGGCACATTAATTCTGACAGAGGAAGAGAAGAGAACGTTAATTGCAGAAGGTTACCCAGTTCCTACACGCCTACCACTCACGAAATCTGAAGAGAAATCCTTGAAAAAGATCAGGAGGAAAATTAAAAATAAGGTAAGAATATACTTATTTTGATATTTTTTTGTTAGAGCCAGTTTACAACAGTCACTATTTTCCTTGAAGCAAGTGAAATTGCGGCAAAAGTTTGCCGACTTATATCACTTACGCCAACTTAGGAAACAAATTCGCCAATATAACTATCAAATTATTGAAAACAGTAATATTTTATTTAAATAAAATATACATAATTTTAACTGTAGGGAAATACCGAATACGCCTCTGTGCAAGCTCGAGCCCTTAGTAACAAAATATTATTTAAAATGTAGTCGCAGGGGAAGTGGGCAATTATAAGCCAAATATATTGACGTGACTCGTTACCTGCTAAAGACACAGATACATGACTTAACAAATGGTGTCGCTGACTTCTCGAAACTAAAATATCATTTTTGAATAGTCATTCATTTTTCATCACTCTCGGTCTAATTTATTTTCTGGGATAAAGGACACTTTAAATATGTTGTAAGCACATTGTACAACACACAAACTACAAAAATTTGAATAAAGAATTTTGTGAACTATTGAAATCCTTGTTTCGAGCACATTATTTCAAATCTTCTATAACACACCGAGAACTTCTAGGTTCCCGAGGTAATCAGGTAAAACAAGCAAGGAAAGATACATCATCGCGAACCGGCGACTAGAAATCTCACTTCCTTTCAGCCAGAAATGTATACTTTAGGGATTTTTAAACTGATTGGAGCCATTTTTTTACTTGCAATTACAATACCTGATTGAAAGGACGTTAATGCGCAGAAGTACAATACGAACTGCCGCAGTTTTACTACAAACAAGAAAGACTGCGAAATGTAAACTTGATAGTAATGGGCAGAATCGAATTCTTTTGAGAATCGAATCGTTTGCATTCGATTAGTTTTAAAAACCGAATACTTATCCGAGAATTGAGAACACAAACGAGAATCGAGCTATTTATTCGAACGTTCTCGGTACTCGCAGTGAACAAATTAACAGATACTCGTATATTCATATAAACCAGTATAAACATGAATTGTGTATTCTGAGTCTTTGATTATATTAAGTATTGAGTGAGGATTCGAGAATTTCGTGTGGTCACTTGGTTATTAAGCACAAGTATCATTCCCAAATTCGAATTCGAGACTAGAATAAGCTTGTGGCCTATTCGAGACTTCAAGACATTTGAGAACTCAAATATTCGAATACTTGAAACTCGAGAACTGTCAGGAATCGAATACTTTCGATTCTTAGCATTCGAATTGTCCCATTACTAAAAATGGATTCTTAATCCCGACATGCGCTGTTCTGTGGCACTTCTCTCATATGTACCATCATATCACTATTAACACTATCCCATCACGTATTCCTCAACTTCTTGCTTCTCTTTTTGGACGTTTTCACTTCTTTGATCATGTCGCAATCGCGTAAGAAATATAAAATTATATTTAGATATTAAAAATTTACTGACAACTTTTATTGTTCTTATAAAAAATTTAAGCACCCATTGTATTTTTTTTTATAGCCTTTCATATTTGATTTTTCCTGATCGACCGTGAATGATCTCTGATAAATTCAAATATCGTTGATTAAAAAAAAACATTGCTGTGACTGCATATTGCCTAACCGTTTATTATAATCAGCATTGGTTGATTAATTGTGAAAATTTATTATTATTGGTACGATATACCTTAAAACAAAATATATGAAATTTAGTTTGGCTAAAACTTCTTGAAAGTAATAGAAAGTAAAAACTGAAGAACTTTCAAATAACTGTTGATCAAATTTAAGAAAATTATTTTGAGATTAAACATATATTAAAATGGGCTATTCTCGTGTAGAATCAATAAATAATAGCATTTCTTTTTTATTTCGTCTATAATTATAAATAACAATAATAATAGGGGGGTGGGTTGGCTCAGTGGTTAGAGTCATGACTTTGAGATCGGAAGGTCTCAGGATCGAATCCCACCGGTGTCAGGGATTTTTATTTAATTAAAAAAAAATTAAATATTAATTCTAATGCATAGGTAGGATTCCCCACTCGACCATTCACTGTTGGGTTCTAATTAACAGTGCTGTTCCTAAAGTGGCGCTGGGAAACAGTAACAAAGCCTGCACAGAACACGAGGCTAATGGCCGTTGTAGTCGACGCAAGTCCTAGTACTTCTGGTTGTCATCTGTTAATCTTGAAATCCCTTGTAATGAAACGTAGGTAATTAAGGCTGCAAAAACAGTAAAATACTTAGGAGTTATGATCGAATCAGATCTTAAATGGGTAGATCATATAAAACAATTAATAAAAAAACTACAATTTCTTTTATATAAATTTCGATTTTTAAAAAATATATATTATTTGTACCACAGCTACTTGTCCTTTATCATGCCCTTGTGGAAAGCCACAAAAATAATTTTAAAACTAATATTAGGCGAAAATTCAAGATACTCAACTGAAAAACTATTCAAAGGTACAAAAATATTGGATAGAAGACAATTATATTATTATAATGTATCTATCAGGTACCATAAAACTGCTAATCTTGTAAAGTTGACACACAATTATGACACTCGAAGGAAAAATTATAGTAGTCAAATGCAAATGACAATCACACAAAAGTCATATGTCTTCTTGGCTCCGACTATAATACAATACAATCCTGAAACAATTAAAAAAATTAACATTATTTCCATTTTTAAAAAACTCAAAAATTTATTTACCAAGCGAAAAATTCCACATCTTATTGATCTTAAAACTTTCTTTCACACATCCTTCTTTCCATTTATTTAATTTAATTTTTAACTTTTTAATTTTCTTTTATTTATTTATTTATTTATTTATTTAATTTAGATTTAACTTTTTAATTTTCTTTTAAAAATGTTATAATTTGAATTTTGTATTATTGAATTTTTAATTTTAGGATAATTTTTATTACTTTTATATATCAACCCAAATGTATGTTAAGAGCTAGACGCAAGTGTTTAATATACACTTTCAAAGTCTCTATTAACTTTATTTATTTACAAATTATTTTATATATTCTTATGCACTATTGTATTGTAATCTAAATAAAGTTCATTATTATATTATTAGTTTAATGTTTTGTGAATAACATACTAAAAATCTCATAACAAGTAAAAGTATTACTCAAATGTAATGTTGTTATAAAAAGTTTATTGAGTTAAAATAGACCAGTTAACAGAAGCCATAATTTTAATTACTATATTCCACGACAATTTTATTTATCTATCAACGAGATTCATACAAGATTTGTTGAAATTACAGTCCACTATTCTACGCTGTAAACCGGAAGGAACTAAAAAAAACACCGCTGGCCCCCCAAAAATGTTTATATGCATTCAAAGAACAGTTAAAATATTAATTAGTTTTAATATGTAAGCTGGGCATTCAGATTCCTCCAAATGGCGAATAATTTTATTGTAAAATTAAAGCATAGCAGTTGTTGTTGATTTTTCAGCACATAATCCATGCTGATTTCCTGTTATAATGTTTTACCTTTTCAAGAAAGACAGAAGACGGTCAAGAAAGGCTTATGCAAAGATTTTAGACAGACCACAGGGAATAGCAACAGGTCTATAGTTTTCTATTTGTCTACGATCATTTTTCTTATGCAATGGTAAAACTTTCCTCAGTTTTAAAGGTTGAGGAAAACTGCCCATCTCAAATGATAAGTTTACGAAATATGTTAAAGGTTCAGAGAGAACATCTAATACTTGTTTTAGTACAAAACATGGTACGTCATCGGCTCCAGAAGATCTTTTGTTTTTAATTTTTCTAAGTAATAAATTTAATAATTCTGTGTGAGAAAATGGAGTGAGGGCGAAAGAATCTCTATTTGATGTGATTCCTTCGATGTTACTATAGTAGAATTGTTATTATTTTATTGACTAAATGACCAGGAGCATACTTAAAAAGTCTATTAAACTCTGCTACCTCCCGTGGATCATCCAATAACATCCCGTCCTTTTCTAATAGTTGGGACAGAATTTTGCCTATTCGTAATTTCTGAGACAACATAAATAAAGTATTCCACCATCGATGAATTGAACAAGGAAGTGAACATACATGGCCTGCATGTAGTCCAGATTCGAAACCTCTGGATTTTTATTTCTGGGGTTTCATTAAGACTCTAGTTTATTCTGGTCCTACTGTTAATACCAGAAATGAATTATGGCAAAAAATAGTAATAGCGGCTAATGTTATTCGACAAGACCATTCATTCATCGCAATTAGAAGAAATTTCTTGAAAAGATGTAGAAAATGCATTGAAGTAAATGGTGAAAATTTTAAACAAATAATTTGAAATTAATTTTTTGCTTTTGCTATTGTTCTTAGTTTGAAATTGTTAGGTTTTTCAATTTGTTATTTTTAAATATTCTTTATTATTTATGTTGTCATATTTTTGCGTTGTTTCAGTATCTACTAAATATTTAATAAAGTTCTGAATTAATTTGTCATAATTTATGTATTATCTTTAGATTTAACATTATCAAATTGAGAAATTTTGGAGTAATCCATATATTTGCAGTACTTACTTTAAATTAAGTTTTCCTTCAAATGAAGCATTTTAGCGACATGCAACAAGTATACCTTTTTTAAAGCAAATTTAACGCTTTTTTAAATTAATTAATTAATTATTTTTTAAAAATGTCCATTCTTAAAAAAATCTGAAGTAAATACTAGATCGGCATGCCAGTTTAGAACGCCCTGTAGATGTAATGCAACAAAAAAACTGGTATTCGTTTGTATCACCCAAAAAAACTTACTTTCACAAAAATTGAGTATATTTACTCAAAAAAATATTTGAATTATCGTAAAAAAATTGAAAAAAAAATATTTTCTTCACCCTGTAACTTCTTAAGCAATCAAAATTCTACTAAGATAAATTGGCTTAAATGAACTTATTTTTGTCCAAACTGACATTTGGCCCATTCTTTATATAATCTTGTGTTTTTGCTTTCAGATTTCTGCGCAAGAAAGCCGACGAAAAAAGAAGGAGTACATGGACCAGCTGGAGAGGAAGGTCGAGCACCTCGTCACCGAAAACAGCACATACCGGCAAAAAATCGAAATCCTCGAGGATTCGAATTCGAACCTGCTCGGCCAACTTCAAAAACTCCAAGCGATCGTCGCCCGAACGCACCCGCAAATCATCAAACAACTGAAACAAATTAATTAGAAATGTTAATTTTTAATCGTTGTGTTATGTAAAACGTTAAAACGTGAGAGTATTTTTATCGCAAATATTTTAGCTACTTGAAAATTCGAGTTTTAGGGGATTAAACAAAATGGATACGAAAGCGGGTCTTTCGACGGGATTATAATAATCGAGCCAATGAAGCCGGAAAACCGTCAAATCTTTAGAAACCTCGAGAATAGAATTTTGTTTTCAAACTATTATAACAGTTCGGGAAATTATTATAACTGTTATACCTATACTAAGAGTCAAACTCTTATTACTCAAAAATTTAAATCCATATTGGTGAGATTATAACTTATTTATAAAATAATAAATGAATTCTGTTCTTAGGGAATTCGAGGCGACAACCTTCATTGACCCGTCTATATAAATGAATTCAGTTTTTTCTTGTTGCCAAATATATTTTATGATGAGCAAAACAGGTTCATTTCTTTCGTCGTACGGAAATATTTGCTATTTTTTTTCGTGGATCGAATCGAAATCTTTTACATTCATCTCTGGAAATTTATTACGGGAAAACGAAGCGAGAGTCTTCCATCATTATTTAATTTATTTTTTTACATTCCAATCCGCATAGTAATTATTATAAATACCAAAGGTTGAAATGTAGAGAGCTCAAGAATATTTTTTATATAAAATATATCTAGAAAAAGAAATGAAATAGAACAACCGTTCAAAACGTGTACTTAAGTATATTGTATGTAAAAATATTGTAGGTATATGTGCCTTAAATTTATAATAGTTAATAGTTTAGAATTTTGAGTTCTACTCCGTGTAGGGTGAGTCTCAAAAATTGAGTTTTTATCGAGTCATTAAGTTTGGTTATAATATTTCGCCTAATAATTTAGGATGTATATTTTAAAATAGTCGTTTTTTAAACAGAAAACAATCTCACTTCAGTCATATTTTAATAAAAGGATTTTTTTTGGGATAATAAGAAATAAATTTAGAAATAAAGAGATTACAAACTGGTTACTGCAGCGATGTGGGTAGTAGGAGGTGAGGACGTTGAAAAAACCTCTGGAGACTGCCTACGAGACATATGTACACTAAACTAATTAAAACACATTGACAAGTGAAGTATGATATATTTCTTGATACAGTCTTACCCATTTTCATGTGTAGATTTTGAGTTTCTTTAAAATTTGATGCAGACCGTCTGAGATCCAGTTGAACAGCTGAATAGCAAATTATTCGTCACGTACAACTTTTAAACTTTTCACTGACTAACTCTGCCGTGCTAAGGAAGAAGGTGGTCGTATCTGCAGTTTTTTGTTTTTCTGAGAAACACGTGTTTTTATGAATAATATAGTTTTTTCTGTAAAACTGCAGTTAGCGCCATGTCTGTATAACATGAAAATAGTTGAGAATTCTTTCTTTTTAAAAAGTTTTGAGAATTTTCAAGGTCATACATTTAGGAAAATGCAGATACGACATTTCTCTTTAGTTTTATTTATGATTATGCTAATAAAAATCGTCATATCTGTCAAAGTAATATATTAAACTCTATAATGCACATTAAACATAGTCAGTCAGATAATAACTCAAGTAATAATAAACTACACTTAAAATTTAGTTATTTACTTAATTTTTAATTCTATCGTATCTGGTAGTAAATTTGTAACATACGACAATTCTTCTTAGCATAAGTCAGATACGACAAATTTTATTGGCATCAGTCACAACTTTTTGAGTTATGACAATAAAAGAATTGGTCATATCTGTCATATACGACAATTTTTCTTAGCATATATGCTACATACGACATATTTCATTGGGACCAGTGGCAATTTTGCAGATATGACTTATTTTATAAGCTCATATGAACAGCTAATTTTCATCTTACGACATTTATTTCTAGTACGATAGGTGTAGAATGATGCAGAAATACTTAAAATGTCAGATACGACCTTTTTGCTTAGGAGGGCAGAACTAGTCCTCTGATATCTTTAAAGAACCCGAACAAGCCTTACATATGTTTCAACATTGAAGAGGCCTTTGGATTTATTTGCAACAATTCTGCTGTAGAAGGACGTTGAAGAAGCCTATGAAGGGCAAAACGTTTGAAGACAACCTACAAGAAGACACGTTGAGTAAGCCGTTAGATATGTTCTGCAAGAATATACCTCTTGTATGTCATCACCAGAGGTGCTTCTTTAGTTCTCAACATACGATTTAGTAGGACTTCGTAATCAGGCGGATCTTAAAGACGTCCCAAAGAAGTCTTATAAGTACAAAAAAAACGAGAATTTCACTCTCTGAAGCCTTCTCAGCAGTGTTGACAGAACGCATAAATATAGGTGGTCTCATGAGATTGCAGATAGTAAGCATTCGTCTAGGCGATCTCACAAAATTGTTGATAGTACCTACGTATTCGCCGAGGAGGTCTCACGAGAGTGTCGATGGTATACACTCTCCGATCTACTCTCACGAGGGTTTAGATAGTATGCATTCATCGAGGTGGTCTCACGAAAGTGTAGATAGTAAGCATTCGCCTAGGCGGTCTTACGAGATTGTAGATAGTACGCATTTACCGAGGCGATCTCAGGAGAGTGTCGATGGTATGTACTCGACGAGGTACTCTCACGAAGGTTTAGATAGTATGCATTCGTCAAAATAGTCTCACGAGGGTATAGATAGTAAGCATTCGTCTAGGCGGTCTCACAAAATTGTAGATAATATACACCTGTTGAAGTGCTAGCATGTTAAGTCTTACCCTCTTTAGACTCGGTTATTTAAAACAAAGGTGAAAAATACTCTGAACCGTCAATTTGTTTTTAATCTAAGCATATTATAACAAAAAAAAATCTGCCTCCCCTCCACATGTCAGTCGCCTTCTTAATTTTTTTAAATAAAAAAAAGAATCGTTTGGCAAAGTTGAATTTAAAAACTTAACAGCAGGTCTGTTATACGGCTGTATTCACCATTTTTATATTAACTCTCTGATAGCTAACGGTCAGTTACGACTTTAGTCTGATAGTGATATTCCGTATTCATTATGAAATATAACCTTTCTTTTTATGACGATAACTTCGGTTTTAATATTTTTGGGATATTTTTTTTGACTATTAAGTTGATAATTCCAACTAGAACATATTTGTTGAGACATAAAAATGTGCTAATTTCACTAATCGAGATAAATATATTTTAAATAGGTACCTTTAGAACATACAGTATCGGCTATCGAACGTCTTCCAATCCGCTTTGCACAAGTGTGAGTGAAAATTGCACAATTAGCGAGCAGGTTTATTTATTAATTTTGAAGATGTAATATAATAATTATTTATTTTATTTAAAATTATTTTGTCACCTAAGACCTTAAGTGAGATAGGTTTTTAAATTCCGCTTTTCGTCTCTTTTCAACAACACAAATCTTTATACTGATAATAATAATAATAATAATAATAATATTTATTCAAGAATAACACAAGTTACAAAGTAATAGAATAACAATTTTAAATAAATATTATACTCAATACTTTTTTAAAAAATGAGATAACTAGGGATGAAAACGTTATAAAATAGCTGGATTAATATAAAATTGACAAGTGCTAGCGTTTTTCATCTTTGTTTAAATAACGGAGTTTACAGGGGATGGGACTTAACATCCCACATTGTATAATATCTCTGTATCAGACCAGAATCGTGTAATGGGGGACACACAGTATATGCCATCGAACGCATTCCAGTGCGCTTTGCACAAATCCATGTGAAAACTACAAAGAGCCAGCACAAGAGCGAGCAGGAAACAAACGTTACAACACGGCTGGGTCGTATCAATCGATACTATTCGCCTCCTGCTCGCCCCAATGCCAACTCTCTGTAACTTTCAACTGGGCATTAGCATAGCGCATTGGCAAACGTTCAGTTGTCGACACTGTAAATTGTCGAATGTAATTTGAAGAAAACTTTCTCGATACGTTTGGGTTTGTTATTGTAAAAAACGACTTCTAATTTCTTATGGATTTGACTTAATCTTTGAGAAACATTCTTAACAATTGTATATTTTTTGGATAAGCTGAACGCGGGACCATGCTTTTTTTAGTACGAAGCTTAATTTTAAAAATTTTATGCTTACTTAAAACAGACTGAAAAATTGCGAGTCGGAAAAGTTTTATACATGTTTATTCGGTAGGATAATTTATCTGAATAAGTGCAATTAACCGTTACAAAATTTAAAAAAAAAAAACTACGTTTAGATTAATAAATATTTTATACAGGGTAGCCCGTAGAGTTATTATATGTTGCATTGATTTTTCTCTCAGTTTTTCGCCTGTTAAAAAAAATAGTATATTTTTTAAATGTTAAATTTCGTTAGTTAGTTATTAAATTTTTCTTTTTTTTTTATTTTCTCTTTATTTACAACTAAAGTACCTGAAAGTATATAAATTCGGACAAAAAACATTTATTCCATTTGGTCCTAATACCAACAAATATGATTTTTCATACTCCTCAATAAAAAAATAATGATAAGTATTTCAAATACGAACCTGTATTATCTCCAAAAGAAAAGTACGTAGTGATTGTAACATGTGATCCACACAAAATGTTTCTAAAGTAGGTAATGAGTGACAAAGACATACAAATCATGTCATGATAACTATCACAAAATATTATTAAAAAAAATTGTTATTTTTCCCCATCTTGAAAACTAGAATAAGGATATATCGCTGGGTTAATGCAGAAGTATGCTATGTCACATTTATTACTTTTTACAGGAGAAGAAAAAAACTAAATAACGTGCGAAAGCTTAATATTAATTTTTTTAAAAACCGTTACTATATTGTGTTTTTAGTGCAGAATAATCTCTTAATATTAGTATGCTTAGTTTTCTAAAATTCAAAAAATATGGGAAAAAAGTAGTGGTATTGAGAAGGTATAACCAGTTTGTTGCAAAGAAAAAGAAGGTGTTCATACTTTTTTTCTTGATCGGAACTAAAGTTTGATACAAGGGTTTCATTATGTAATCGTTTTTTTTG